AATGCCTCGGCCTAAAGGTCTTCAAGGCCTGCTGTAGGGGGAGGCTCCAGGCAGGGGCACTGAAAACCTGAGCTGAACCACGGGGCCTGGGGGTCCTCGGCCCTCTCCCTTGCCTGTCTCCCCTCCACCCCAACACGTGCGGTCACCTACCTTATGTTTGGGACATTTCAAAGAAAAGTTCTCTTCCATGAACACGCAACCTGCGACCGAAGAGAAGTCAGGCTGGTTAGGGCGCCCATCTCACGTGGCGCGTGCAGGCCGCGGAGGGAGCCGCTGCCCACGAGGCCCTGTGCAGACTGAATCGCTCCTGCTTAAAATCCCCCGCCAGCCGTCCATCACGTGGCGGTGGGGGGGCTGTGCACCCCTTCAGCCCCCAGGCCTGCCGTCCTTCCTGTCCCGCAGTCCTGTCCCTGCGGGATGCCGCCTGGGGAGCTCCTGGTCCGTGAACGTGAAGCAGATTGGGTGTTTACCGCGCCGGCAGGGGCTGCAGGCCTCCCTGCGGGTCGCCCCTTCTCTCCACCCAACCTGGGCCAGAAGCGGGGCTGCCTCAGATCTGAAAGCTGCCCAGGTGTTGTGAGCGTTTCCTTGTGCCCAGGCAAAGCCAGGCGACCTGGGATGGGGCGGGGCTTTCCGGAGAACGGTGGGCCAAAGCCCAGGCTGCCCGCTGCCGGACATGCCCTCCCTGGGCTCGGTCTGGAACTGCGAGTAGGAGACCACCCCTTCCCAACCAACCAACTCATAGGGCCCACACGGGTGGGTTAGGACAGAGCAGGGCAGCCACTGGGAGGAGACAGTGGCCTCCATGCCTCTCCCCTGCACCTGGGGACCGCGGACCTAGCTGGCATGGCTGCAGGCCTGAGTGCACAGCCTCAGGAGACTCCATGACGCAGGGCCTTGGCCTGATCTCAGGAGTCCCTGCCCATTCTCCAAAGTGTGGCCCCTAGAGAGAGCTGAGAGGACAGGTTAGCCGGCCTGCAGGGCAGGGCAGAGACTGGGCGTGCCCCCGCAGCCCCGGTGCCCCGCAGTCTGAGAGCGTGACTCACGCCAGGGAGCCCTCACGCGCCTGCACTTGGCGAACCCAGGTGTGGGTGGGTGCAAAGGGCTGACCGCAGCCGGGGACCCTGCCTGCCCACAGACCCTCGGTTCCCTCTCACCGGCCAGCCAAGCACACGCTCAGTCCTTCCTGCTCCCTGAGACCCCGGCCCCTCGCCTCCAACTGTGGAGCCCGCTTGTTCTCCCTCCCCTTCTCTGGCGGTGTCTCCCGCGGGTGCACCCCTCCTCCGCCAGGTCTCCAGGTCCCCAGCCCACTGTCCCCTCCAGGCTCCAAGGAGCTCCCTACTGAGGGCTGGCGGGTCTCTGCCCTGAGCCCAGCCGGGACAGCCTGTCTGCAGGGGCCTCCGCTGCCGCCTGTGCCCAGGAGCACAGCCCAAACAGCCCCTCCCCTCCCCGGGCTTCCGCAGCCCGTCCCCTGGAGAGGGGGCACGCATTGCCCACCCCGTGAATCTGGGCTGCACGTGGCACTTGCTTTGGCAAACAGAACACAGTGAGCCTCGAGGCCCGTGACCTCTGTACCAAGTCTTGCTGCGGCCTGCCCGAGGCTGAGCGCACGTGGAGCAGAAAGGAGCTGCCTGGCCAGGGCCACCCTGGATCAGCCTGCCCCGCAGGGCCTCCCACCAACACGGCCCTCGTGATGGTCTGCTGCTTAGGCCACTGAGCCTGGAGGGCAGAGCCAGGCAGAGCCAGGCGCTAGGCAGCACAGCTGACCCACTCCATCCGTCCATGCCGCCTGTCTGTCCCACTCCAGAGCGAGCTCCTCGGGAGACGGGCAGCACCGGGGTATGAGGCAGCATGGGGCGCGGAGCAGGAAAGCCAGGACATCGCGCCCTGGTTTTGCCCACGCTATGCTCTGTGCTCTGTGGGTGAGGCACCATCTGCAAAGACGGGACTAGGAGAGCACCGGGGCCTGACGCGGGCCCAGCCCGGAGCCGGCGCTAAATCCGTCCCTGGGAAGGGGCGCTGCGACTCCTGGCAGCTGCTCTGGGGAAGGAGGCCAAGGGTCTGGTAAGCGGCTGAGTCCACTTTAAAACTGGGCTCCGGCTGCTCAGAGTGGGAGGGCGGGGCCAGTGAGAAGCCCAGGGTCTCCGCTCCCTCCGGGCAACTGTCAGCAGCCACGGCCCAGCGTGGTGCCCGCGTCACAGCCCGTGTGCGCTCCCTGGCCCGCGTCACACCCCGTGTGCGCTCCTTGGCTCATGTCACAGCCAGGCCAGGGTGTGCTTCCTGGTTGGTGGCCTGGCTGGGGCTGACACCAACTGGGACCCAGGTGCCTGTAACTTCACCCCTTCCAGCCACGGCTTAGACAGAGAGGGCCCGG